AGTTCCTCACTGTCTCTATGATTGATGTGAGTTACCCTACTGTCTCTATGATGAGGTGAGTCCTACTTTCCCTATGATTGAGGTGAGTCCTACTGTCTTTATGATGAGGTGAGTCCTACTGTAACCTATGATGAGGTGAGTCCTACTGTCATTATGATGAGGTGAGTCCTACTGTCTCTATGATGAGGTGAGTCCTACTTTCCCTATGATGAGGTGAGTCCTACTGTCTTTATGATGAGGTGAGTCCTACTGTAACCTATGATGAGGTGAGTCCTACTCTCCCTATGATGAGGTGAATCATACTCTCCCTAGCCATACAGTACTTGAAGTCTCACACTTGTATAGGAATGTTTTTTGTTGTTGTTTTTCACCTTTATTTATACAGGGAAGTCCCATTGAGAGCGATATCTCCTTTTGCTAGGGGGCCCTGCTTCACTAAAAGCAGCCAACAATACCAAGTCCATCATATTGAATAAGTTACACAGTGACAACAATCAAAAGCAGAAGCATTAAAGATACACAATACAATTATTATTGTCTGTCCAGAGACTAGGAGAGCCCACACCATTCACCATTACTATCTCTAAGTGACGATGATTGTCAGACACAATGTCAGCATGTTCATTATTGTCTATTGCCTTCAGGGTGCTAGAATATTCCTCCCATCTCAACTCCCAGATAACTAGTAGATAAATGAATGTAGTCATGTGTGGAGATACATTATAGAGGTGGTTTCATCTGTTCCTGTCTCTTCCCAGGTGGACATCCCCAACATCCAGAAACAGAGGAAACATTTAGCCAAGCTGGTCCTGGACATGGACTCAGCCCGCACACGGTGAGGGATGGAATGCATGTTAACATACAGGCTGGGACCTTTTACCCTCTTCACTGACCACTTCTTAAGAGATGCTCATGTTTAGAATAATGCTTAGACAAGCATGTTCTTTCCCTCTGTGGTTGTGTCTCAAATCGCACCCTAATCCCTATATAGTGCACTACTTTTTAACAAGCTCTGGTCAAAGGTAGTGCACTATATAGCCTAGAATAGGATGCCATTTGGGATGAAGCCTGTGTGTTGGTGTTCCATCCCCCCTCCTAACTCTTCTTCTGTCCCCTCCTTGCCTGTAGGTTTCACCAGTCGTCCAAGTCCTCCAGTCACCCTAGCAACCTGCAGGCGGGCGGGGCCAAGGGGGAGGCCCTCAGAGAGGAGATGGAGGAGGCAGCCAATAGGATGGAGATCTGCAGAGTGAGTCACAGGGTTCTAGAGGTTCTGGCTCCTCCTCCTCCCCACCACAAGGTTACAGGCTGCATTAACCACTACAAGGTTACAGGCTGCATTAACCACTACAAGGTTACAGGCTGCATTAACCACTACAAGGTTACAGGCTGCATTAACCACCACAAGGTTACAGGCTGCATTAACCACTACAAGGTTACAGGCTGCATTAACCACTACAAGGTTACAGGCTGCATTAACCACTACAAGGTTACAGGCTGCATTAACCACTACAAGGTTACAGGCTGCATTAACCACTACAAGGTTACAGGCTGCATTAACCACTACAAGGTTACAGGCTGCATTAACCACTACAAGGTTACAGGCTGCATTAAACACTACAAGGTTACAGGCTGCATTAACCACCACAAGGTTACAGGCTGCATTAACCACCACAAGGTTACAGACTGCATTAACCACCACAAGGTTACAGACTGCATTAACCACTACAAGGTTACAGACTGCATTAACCACCACAAGGTTACAGGCTGCATTAACCACTACAAGGTTACAGGCTGCATTAAACACTACAAGGTTACAGGCTGCATTAAACACTACAAGGTTACAGGCTGCATTAAGGTTAAAGGTCATTTCTTATCCTCTTTTCCAGGACCAACTATCAGCAGATATGTATAATTTTGTGGCCAAAGAAATAGACTATGCAAACTACTTTCAGACGGTTAGTATATTTTCTGTATCAATGCATTTACCCTTCAGATGACCTTGACTCATGTTACAGTCATATAGCTGAGCAGGTGTTTAAACCTCACCTTTTTTACCCCTCTGTCCCTCTGTTTCCCTGTGTGTCTCTCTGTCCCTTTGTCTCTCTGTCTCCCTCTCTGTCCCTGTGTCTCTGTCTCCCTCTCTGTCCCTGTGTCTCTGTCTCCCTCTCTGTCCCTGTGTCTCTGTCTCCCTCTCTGTCCCTGTGTCTCTCTCTCCCTCTCTGTCCCTGTGTCTCTGTCTCCCTCTCTGTCCCTGTGTCTCTCTCTCCCTCTCTGTCCCTGTGTCTCTGTCTCCCTCTCTGTCCCTGTATCTCTGTCTCCTTCTCTGTCCCTGTGTCTCTCTCTCCCTCTCTGTCCCTGTGTCTCTCTCTCCCTCTCTGTCCCTGTGTCTCTGTCTCCCTCTCTGTCCCTGTGTCTCTCTCTCCCTCTCTGTCCCTGTGTCTCTGTCTCCCTCTCTGTCCCTGTGTCTCTGTCCCCTCCCTGTCCCTGTGTCTCTGTCCCCCTCTCTGTCCCTGTGTCTCTGTCCCTCTCTGTCCCTGTGTCTCTGTCCCCTCTCTGTCCCTGTGTCTCTGTCCCCTCTCTGTCCCTGTGTCTCTGTCCCCTCTCTGTCCCTGTGTCTCTGTCCCCTCTCTGTCCCTGTGTCTCTGTCCCCTCTCTGTCCCTGTGTCTCTGTCCCCTCTCTGTCCCTGTGTCTCTGTCCCCTCTCTGTCCCTGTGTCTCTGTGCGTCTCTCTGTAGCTCATAGAGATCCAGGCAGAATATCACAGGAAGTCTCTAGAGATCCTCCAGAGTGTCTTGCCCACCATTAAAGCTCACCAGGGTGGGTTAATGTGTGTGTATGTATGTGTGTGTGTGTGTGTGTGTGTGTGTGTGTGCACATTTACGCGTGTCTGTGTGTGTGTGTGTGTGTGAGCTCGTCCATGCCTGCACATGTGTATGTGTCCATGCCTGTCTGCTTCTCGTGTGTCTAACTGTTGTATAATGTGTTGTACCACCACAGAGGCGTGGGTGGAGAAGCCGTCGTATGGCAAGGCCTTGGAGGAACACCTGACCATCAGCAGTAGAGAGATTGCCTTCCCCATCGAAGCCTGTGTCACTATGCTGCTGGAGTGTGGCATGCAGGAGGAGGTAGAGAAAAAGATTAAGCCTACTTAACACTAAGTTTCCCAGACCCAGATGAAGACTACTTAACACTAAGTTTCCCAGACCCAGATGAAGACTACTTAACACTAAGTTTCCCAGACCCAGATGAAGACTACTTAACACTAAGTTTCCCAGACCCAGATGAAGGCTACTTAACACTAAGTTTCCCAGACCCAGATGAAGACTACTTAACACTAAGTTTCCCAGACCCAGATGAAGACTACTTAACACTAAGTTTCCCAGACCCAGATGAAGACTACTTAACACTAAGTTTCCCAGACCCATATGAAGACTACTTAACTCTACTAAGTTTCCCAGACTCAGATGAAGCCTACTTAACTCTACTAAGTTTCCCAGACCCAGATAAAGTCTACTTAACACTACTAAGTTTCCCAGACCCAGATAAAGCCTACTTAACTCTACTAAGTTTCCCAGACCCAGATGATGACTACTTAACACTAAGTTTCCCAGACCCAGATGAAGAATACTTAACACTAAGTTTCCCAGACCCAGATAAAGCCTACTTAACACTACTAAGTTTCCCAGACCCAGATGAAGCCTACTTAACACTATTATGTTTCCCAGACCCAGATGAAGCCTACTTAACACTAAGTTTACCCAGTCCCAAATTAAGCCAATTTAACACTGCTTTACATTCTGATATCAGTTAACTGTTAGAGAGTGTTTATTGTAGACAGAGATATAGTATGTACTACATTTATGTTTCAGTATTTATCTCTATGATGGCCCTGCTCTGACTCTCTGTCTTCCTGACTCCCTGTCTTCTTGTCTTCCTGTCTTGCTGATTCCCTGTGTGTGTAGGGTCTGTTCAGAGTGGCCCCCTCGGCCTCCAAGCTGAAGAAGCTGAAGGCCTCCCTGGACTGTGGTGTTATGGACGTACAGGAGTATTCAGCTGACCCTCACGCCATCGCAGGTTACCTTACACACCCACACACACACATATAGACACACACACAGTATTTGAAAATACTCAAATACACTCCCATGCATTTAACACAGGTATTTGAAAATAGTATTTGATAGAAGTATTTGAAAATACTCTCAAATATAATTTGATCGACTGTTTCGTTTTTACAAATAGCCATTAAAATACACAAAATTCAAATACACAGAAAAAAAAGTATTTGAAATACTACACTGAACAGAATATAAACGCAACATGTAAAGTGTTGGTCCCATGTTTCATTAACTGAAATAAAAGATCCCAGAAATGTTCCATACTCACAAAAAGCTTATTTATCTCAAATTTGTGCATACATTTGTTTACATCCCTGTTTGTGACCAATTCTTCTTTGCTAAAATAATCCATCCACCTGACAGGTGTGGCATATCAATAAGCTGATTAAACAGCATGATCATTACACAGGTGCACCTTGTGCTGGGGACAATAAAAGGCCACTCTAAAATGTGCAGTTTTGTCACACAACACAATACCACAGATGTCTCAAGTTTTGAATGAGCATGCTGACTGCAGAAATGTCCACCTGCATTCTCAGTCATGTGAAATCCATAGATTAGGGCCTAATGAATGTATTTCAATTAACTGATTTCCTTATATAAACTGTAACTGTAACTCAGTAAAATCTTTGAAATTGTTGCATGTTGCATTTGTATTTTTGTTCAGTATATATACTCAAATACACATGTATTTGAACCCAGGTCTGAAACACACACACGCACACACACACGCACACACCATCACAGATTAATTTACACCCACACACACGCCTCGCGCCTCTCTCTCTCTGGCGCAGGCTCTGGTCTCCATAACAACAAGCCTTTAGCTAGCTCCATTGTCTATATATAACCATCAGATAGAACTCTGCTTTCAGGAGATCCATGCCTCCAGAAATATATCAATCAATGTTAGGTCAACACAATCAAGTAGAGGTTTCTTTTGTTTGTGGACTGTTGTCTTTCACACCTTGTTGCCTATTTCCTTGTTGCCTGTTTCCTAACATCCTCCTCCAGTAGAGAGCTGGCCTGCATCCCAAATGACACCATATTCCCTATACAGTGTACTACTTTTGACCCCTGGCCCATATGGCTCTGGTCAAATTAGTGCATTATGTAGGGATTAGGGAGCCATTCAAGGAGACCACCATCGTCCCAGTGTCCAAGAAAGACAAGGTGACATGCCCAAATGACTATCGCCCCGTCACACAGACGCTGGTCATCATGAAGTGCTTGGAGATGCTGGTCATGGCTCACGTCAAGGCCAGCTTGCCAGACACACTGGACCCACTCCAATTTGAATACCGCTCCAACAGATCCAAGGTTCAATTTCCATCGCTATTCACGCGGCTGTAACACATCTGGACAAGAAGAACACCTATGTGAGAATGCAGTTCATTGACTACAGTTCAGCATTCAACACTATTGTTCCCTCCAAGCTTAACACCAAGCTCAGAGCATCCTCAGTTCTCTGCTGTACTACCTGTTCAGCCACGACCGTGTAGCTTTCCAAGACACCAAGTCATCATCAACTTTGCTGACGACACCACAGTTGTAGGCCTGATAACCAACAATGACGAGTCAGCCTATAGGGAGGAGGTAAGTGAACTGGCATTGTGGTGCCAGGACAACACCATTCCTTCAACGTCAGCAAAACAAATGAGTTGATTGTTGACTCAGGAAGCAGAGGAGGGAACATGCCGCGATCCACATCGTCAGGACTGCAGTAGAGGGAGTCAGCTGTTTTAAGTTCCTTTGAGTCCACATCACCGAAGACTTGACATGGACCAACAACATCACCACTCTTGTCAAGAGGGCGCAGCAGCGTCTCTACTTCCTAAGGCAGCTGAAAAAATTTGGCATGCCACCCCCGGTCCTCTCCAAATACTACCACTGCACCATCGAGAGCGTCCTGACCGGTTCCATAATGGCCTGTTACTGCTCCGTCCACGACCACAAGGCCCTCCAGTGGGTGGTGAAGACGGCCCAGGACATCACTGGGGCCGTGCTCCCACCCATCCAGAACATCACTGGGACCGTGCTCCCACCCATCCAGGACATCACTGGGACCCGTTGCTCCACTCCATCCAGGACATCACTGGGACCGTGCCTCCCACCCATCAGTACATCACTGGACCTGATCCCAACCATCCAGGACATCACTGGGACCGTGCTCTCCACCCATCCAGGACATCACTGGGACCGTGCCCCAAACATCCAGGACATCACCTGGGACCGTGCTTCACCACCCATCCAGGCATCACTGGGACCGTGATCCCACCCATCCAGGACATCACGGGGACCGTGCTCCCACCCATCCAGGACATCAATGGGACAGTGCTCCCAACATCAGGGACATCCTGGGAACGTGCTCCCACCCATCCAGTACACACTGGGACCGTGCTCCCAACCCATACAGGACATCACTGGGACCGTGCTCCCAACCCAGCCAGTACATCACTGGGAACCGTGCTCCCACCCATCCAGGGGACATCACTGGGACCGTGCTCCCACCATCCTGTACATCATTGGACCGTGCTCCCACCCATCCAGGACATCACTGGGACCGTGCTCCCACCCATCCAGGACATCACTGGGACCGTGCTCCCACCCATCCAGGACATCTACTTGAAACGGTGCCTGAGGAAAGCGCGCAGCATCATCAAGGACCCCACACACCCCAGCCACGAGCTGTTCTCTCCCTCACCATCAGGCAGATGGTATCGGAGCATGAGGTCTGATACCAACAGGCTCAGAGACAGTTTCTGTCTACAAGCCATCAGACTGTTGAACATTTGAACTGGATTGAGAAACTGCTCTGATTCTCCGCACCTTAGCACAAATGCACTCACTCACACACACACACACGCACACACATATACTACTATTCATTCTACACACATCACAACTGCTGCTACCAGACTCTTATTATGATACTGCGCAATTTAAACACTTGCCCCCCAATCCTCCCTTCCCCAAAACGTGTAAATATTGGACTATAAATGGTGCCTTCCTGTATTATACTGATGCTAAAATGTTTATTCTACTGAGCCATTTACTTTATGTTCCTATTATTATCTTTCATTACTTCTTATTGTTGTTACATTGTCGAGTAAGGAACATGCAAGTAAGCATTTCATTGGACGGTGTATGCCATGTGTATCCCGTATATACGACCAATAAAACATGACACCTGAAACTTGATTTGGCCCTGGAGTTTAGTTCAGCTGTGGGGCTAGAAGAACATATCCCTTAACATTTCCTAAATGATCTGCTTGTGTTTTGCCCTAGATGTTCTCTATCCTAAAGGCTTCTTTGTAATGTTGCTGTCCACTTCCTTGAGTAATCGGAGGATGGCAGCGTTGTGTGTGTGTGTTCTCATCAGTATTCTGAACAGAGAAAACCACACCTCCCCTAGGCCTAATGAGATTATATCTCTCTTTCTCTTTCTCTCTTCCTCCCTTTCTCTCTCCATCTCTCTTTCTCCATCCTCCTGTCCCCCCCCCCCCCCTCTCTCTCTCTCTTCCCATCTCTCCCCCCTTCCTCTCTCTCACCCCTCCCCCTCCCTCCCTCCCTCCCTCCCTCCCTCCCTCCCTCCCTCCCTCCCTCCCTCCCTCTCTTTCTCCATCCCGTTCTCTTTCTCTCTACCTCTCTCTGTCTCTCCATCCCTCTCTTCCGCAGGGGCTCTGAAATCATACCTCCGTGAGCTTCCAGAGCCACTGATGACCAGTGAACTTTACGAGGACTGGATTCAGGCGTCAAAGTGAGTAGAGATTCCCTTCATAACCACAGCATCTCCACTACAGATAACAGATCCCTTCATAACCACATCATCTCTACTACAGATAACAGATCCCTTCATAACCACAGCATCTCCACTACAGATAACAGATCCCTTCATAACCACAGCATCTCTACTACAGATAACAGATCCCTTCATAACCACAGCATCTCTACTACAGATAACAGATCCTTTTTTAGTTATGTTAAAGAGCTGGAGATGACTCTTCTATTCTAGAATGACTTTCCTATTTCTATGGGGAGAACTCCATAAAGAAGGGTACATTACCATACTGACAGAACAGACGGTGAACCGGTATCACAATAATAGTCATTATTAACACAGTGTTTCTCAACCTCCGGTCCGTGGTCCGGCACTGGTCCCTGGGTTGTTGTTTACCGGTCCCTCAGATGGTTAGCTGACACCAATTAGCCTCTCAATGACAATACACTGTAGCCTGCTGGTCTCCCTGGTATAAAATAATGTTGAGAAAAACACTGCCTTGAGCACAACTCACCCTGAGCACTGTTCACTGCTCTCTTCATCGTTCAGTATTCAGGATATGGACAAGAGACTACAAGCTCTGCTGGCGGCATGTGAAAAACTACCAACTGACAACTTCAACAATTTCAGGTCAGTACCCATCTCTGCCTCCCTCTCTCTACAATCTACATATACCTACTGCCAGTAGGTATTAACCCTCCAGTGAGGATCTGTTTTATCTGTTTGGGTTGTTGCCAGGCTGAAGTTTCCTCTAAGTTTAGATCTAGGATCAGATTCCCCTCCCCCACTCCTAACCTTAACCATTAGTGGGGGAATTGCAAAAGTGATCCATGGTCAGCGTCTAGGGTCTTCAACCTACTACATAGTCAACATGTTGTTTATGAGATGAATCAGTAGGTTTCTAGTGTAGATTATGTTTTATCTGGGTGTTATAGTTCTGGGTCTGTGTTGCTATGTTTACACAGGCAGACCAATTCTGATCTTTTATCACTAATTGGTATTTTGACCAAGCAGATCAGCTCTGAAAAAGATATGATGTGAAAAGATTTGACGTGATTGGTCAAAAGACCAATTAGTGGAAAAAAGATCAGAATGGAGCTGACAGTGTAGACGCAGCCTGTGTCTTGGACCTCCTATCAGGGTTAGAGTCCCTGTGTTCGCTAAAATATTGTTAACCAACAGAGACCATCAGGGAATGTGTGTGTGTGTGTTTGTGTGTGTGTGTGTGTGTGTGTGTGTGTGCGTGTGCGTGTGTGTGTGATTTCACAGTATAGTTCGAAAGCTGAACAAATAGGCCCTAGTGTTGAGTCATGCTGATTTGAACATATCAAGTTGTCTTCCTTCTGGGGAGTTTTCCCTGGCCACTGCTGCTGCTTGGTCTTTATGGTTCCAGGTCTGGTTACTGTGCTGCTGCTTGGTCTTTATGGTTCCAGGTCTGGTTACTGTGCTGCTGCTTGGTCTTTATGGTTCCAGGTCTGGTTACTGTGCTGCTGCTTGGTCTTTATGGTTCCAGGTCTGGTTACTGTGCTGCTGCTTGGTCTTTATGGTTCCAGGTCTGGTTACTGTGATGCTGCTTGGTCTTTAGGGTTCCAGGTCTGGTTACTGTGCTGCTGCTTGGTCTTTATGGTTCCAGGTCTGGTTACTGTGATGCTGCTTGGTCTTTATGGTTCCAGGTCTGGTTACTGTGATGCTGCTTGGTCTTTATGGTTCCAGGTCTGGTTACTGTGCTGCTGCTTGGTCTTTATGGTTCCAGGTCTGGTTACTGTGCTGCTGCTTGGTATTTATGGTTCCAGGTCTGGTTACTGTGATGTTGCTTGGTCTTTATGGTTCCAGGTCTGGATACTGTAAAGCATATGGTGATAAATGTTGACTTTAAAAAGGGCTATATAAATACATTTGATTGACTGATTGATAGACTGATTGATTGAATGATTTATAGACTGATTGATTGAATGATTGATAGACTGATTGATTGAGTGATTGATAGACTGATTGATTGAGTGATTGACAGACTGATTGATTGAGTGATTGATTGAGTGATTGATTGACAGACTGATTGTTTGTGTGTGTATTTCTCCTCTTCCTATCAGATACTTAATTAAGTTCCTAGCCAAGCTAGGAGAGTATCAGGACTCCAACAAGATGACTCCTGGTAACATGGCTATAGTTCTGGGTCCCAACCTGCTATGGACGCACTCCAACGAGAGTGGGTACGTGTCCTGTCCTCCGTTCTCTCTCTCTCTCTCCTCAAAATACGCTGCTTTATCAGTAAACATTTTATTCATCTTTTGACAGTCTGCGGAGGGTACTTTGAAATACTTTAGATGCATGTTGTTCACTTTACCCGGTACAATACTCCTATCGAATAGTCCCAAAAGGACAAACTCCCAAGTTAAATCAGGTGCACCTCAAATTGTCTTAGTGATGTGTTTCCTGTCTGACTGAGTGTTTGGTGTCTCCAGGAACATGACCGAGATGATGACCACAGTATCTCTTCAGATAGTGGGGATCATAGAACCCATCATACAGCACGCTGACTGGTTCTTCCCTGGAGGTGAAACACACACATACCTTTAAACACACACACACTCACACACACACACCAACACACCACACACACACCAACACACACACCACACACACCCAGCACACACCACACCACACACACACACTCACACACACACATACCTTTAACACCACACACACTCACACACACACACACCATAACACCACACCTAATACCTGCAAACACACACCACACCCACACAACCCACCCACAAACACACACTGTCACATTAAGGATCCATGAAGCTACTTGATTCACTCTCCAAGTCCTCCCCCTCCTATGAAGATGGAGTTTTAATCGAACAGGCTGCTACGGCAGTCCCATCCACGCCAACCACAACTCTAACTACAGCTCCATGCCTTCGCCAGACATGGACCAATCGGAACGCAAGCTGTCGCACGACCAGGGCAGACGTCCACTCAGTGTTGCCACTGACAACATGATGCTGGAATTCTACAAGAAGGATGGGTAGGCTGCGGCCTAAGTCACTGCTATCCACACACTATCTTATTCTATCTCCATTCCTATCTACTTGATTCTCCCTACTCTCACTCTACACACTCACACAAACCCAAACTGTACTTAGGATCATGACTAGTCATCTCTTCTCTCCTTCCGCCTCCTATAGAGATTAGTTTTAATCTGACAGGCTGCTACGGCAGTCCTCTCAGTCACGCTCTAACTCTTCATGTCTATACTACAGCATATCAATGCACTCTTCGCCATAACAGTGGACTCAATGGAGTCAACGTGTCTCAGACCAGGCAAGAGCCCAACTCGCGTTGCATCTGACAACATGATTCTGGACATTCTACAAGAAAATGCGTAGCTGCTGCTACAAGACTCAAGATCGCTACTCTACCTAACATACCACACCCATCACCCAGTTCTAATCATTCTCTCTCTCTCGTGTTCTCTGATAGCGTTCGTCTCTCCATCTGCAGACTCATCAATCTTCTCCTCTCTCTGAATGTCCACTCTCATCTTCTGCACTTTGGAAAATCTCGCGAGAGTCTCAGTCTATAGGAGCTCGACGCATGATCTCTCTCTCGCGCATGAGTAGGACAGCGATCCTCGCCGAGAGCACTTCTCCGCGCTCTCTCTCTCGTCGGCGCTCTTCGTCCATCTCTCGTCTCTCTCGCGAGCTCTCTCTGTCTTCTTCTCAAGGCGCTTCTCCTTTATCTCTCTCCTCACTCTCGGCTCTCTTCTCTCTTGTCTTCTGATCTCTCTCTCCTCTCTCTCTCTCTCTCTTCTCCTCTCTTTCTCTCTCTCTGTTCTCATGCAGCATCAAAACCCACATGATGCCACCCACTCCTTCTCTTCTCTCTGTTGGTCTTATAAAGTATTGAGCCAGAAGCTTGAGGAACAGATTGCTAGTTTGTTAAAGACACATGACTCAGGCAGAGTATTTACATAATGCAGTAGATCTTTAAAGGTTTAATGAAGCATCTATGAAAAGGAAATACATTCTACAAAAGGAGTTATAAGGTCTATGATCATCTATGAAGGTCTTATGAAGGGTTTATGAAGGCTTCTTAAAGGGCAATTCTCCAGCACCAAACCAGTGTCTACATATGTGAAAACAGTGTGTCTCTATGATCTGTGGTTAAAAAGATGACAAGACAGGCACTACAACAAGGCTTCTTTGTGTCATCACAGGGTAGGGTTAAAGTAAAAAATACAGTGATGTTCTTGCTCCCCACGTCACCGCGAATCTCAAAGTGTTTGAAAATCTTTTTTTTTAAACTTTTTTAAAACTTTTGATGATGTCAACTTAGAAATGAGCCGTTTTCAAATACAGTGTATGTTGACACTGGTTTTGTGTTGGAGATAATGAACATGAGGTTGAAAAGTGGTGGATTGCCCTTTAAGTGGTTGTTCATCTACATTGCTCTGATTTAGAGCTCTCAGTAGAACACAGAAGGAGGGTAGATATCTGCCCTGTCAAATATCCTCTCATCCAAATAGCTGCCAGCTTTACCAGTCCTCATCTAGAGGGGAGGGATACCCTGGGAATGCAAACACACCTTATTTAAATAGTCCACACACATCTTTTTTAAATAGTCCCGGCCCGGTGAATGGCACCATCGCCGTCTCTATGGCAACACGGCAGCAGTGATAGAGGCTGCTTCTAGTTGCTTCTTCGCATTCTCCTGAGATCTACACACACACACACAAACGCACTCACACCATGCACACACACACACCATGAACGCACACACACACACACAAACTCACACCATGCACGCACACACACACCCACGCCTGGCCTATCCTTCTCAGTCTGGGACGTCACCTGCCCTCCCTGACTCACCAGGTGGAAAATCACTGGCAGGCATGCCAAGATCCTCCCTCACAGAAATAGTCTCGGAAAACCAGACCTTGGAGCAACGTTGGAGCAATGGCACCAGGTCTGGGCAGAATGTCAGATTCTCTCTGACGTTTAGAAAGGGGAAAATAGACAGACGACTCTCCCAACGAATCACAAGTTTGGGTAGGCGGAGCTTAAAATGTGGGCGGGAGTTGTGCTAATGTTTAGCTAGGGCAACAAGTGGATACAGCAGTGACGTCACCGCTGACCCGCTTCTATTTACTATTCGACATCTCTGATGGCGGAACTTCTACAGACGTGTAAACCGGAACATTGGAACATTGAGGGAGGCAACCCGTCTGTCCAGAGAGACCAGAGAGACTATCACAGAGACTATCACTAGATTTACTCTTTCACATTGAAATATCGTTTTCTCACCACACACTTAAACCCCAAACAGTTTTCCCATGTGAGACACTGGTAGAAAAGATAGTTGTTATCCATTTAGGATAATGACCAGTTTTGTAACTGTGGCGTATCAAAGGCAGGCTATTGTTACTGTGCTGGACTGAGGAGAGCTGTGAGGATGTCTTTGTCTTTGCGTGTGAGTCCACTCCAGAGAACTTAGCTTGGCTTAATTACTGTATTAACTAACGAGGCACTAATTTCCTCTTGGTAGGACAGTGCAGGCTACTCATTTGGTCGGGCATGTCCCAATACTTCTGAAACCCTCTCTACCCTGTCACTGTGGATCTCATCCCCCCGAATACAGACAACACTGTAGCCCTGTAACTCAGGGGACTATGTAGCTCCCTAACCCTCTATGTAGCTCCCTAACACTCTATGTAGCTCCCTAACCCTCTATGTAGCTCCCTAACCCTCTATGTAGCTCCCTAACCCTCTATGTAGCTCCCTAACCCTCTATGTAGCTCCCTAACCCTCTATGTATATGTAGCTCCCTAACTCTCTATGTAGCTCCCTAACCCTCTATGTAGCTCCCTAACCCTCTATGTAGCTCCCTAGCCCTCTATGTAGCCCCCTAACCCTCTATGTAGCTCCCTATCTCTCTATGTAGCTCCCTAACCCTCTATGTAGCTCCCTAACCCTCTATGTAGCTCCCTAACCCTCTATGTAGCTCCCTAACCCTTTATGTAGCCCCCTAACCCTCTATGTAGCTCCCTAACCCTCTATGTAGCTCCCTAACCCTCTATGTAGCTCCCTAACCCTCTATGTAGCTGCCTAACCCTCTATGTAGCTCCCTAGCCCTCTATGTAGCGCCCTAACCCTCTATGTAGCTCCCTAACCCTTTATGTAGCCCCCTAACCCTCTATGTAGCTCCCTAACCCTCTATGTAGCTCCCTAACCCTGTATGTAGCTCCCTAACCCTCTATGTAGCTCCCTTGCCCTCTCCACTAGCCTCTGTGTATGAATAGAAAGTGAGCGGAATGTGTCTCTTACGTGCCTCTCGTCTCTTTGCCCCGTCAAAGCAGCATAAGGAAAATACAAAGGTACTGTATGGTTCCTCCTCTAGTCCTGACCTCCTCCTCTGGTCCCGACCTCCTCCTCTAGTCCTGACCTCCTCCTCTAGTCCTGACCTCCTCCTCTAGTCCTGACATCCTCTTCTAGTCCTGACATCCTCCTCTAGTCCTGACCTCCTCCTCTAGTCCCCTGACCTCCTCCTCTACACCTGACCTCGTCCTCTAGTCCTGACCTCCTTCTCTAGTCCTGACCTCCTCCTCTAGTCCCCTGACCTCCTTCTGTAGTCCCCTGACCTCCTCTTCTAGTCCTGACCTCCTCCTCTAGTCCCCTGACCTGCTCCTCTAGTCCTGACCTCATCCTCTAGTCCCCTACCCTCCTTCTGTAGTCCCCTGACCTCCCTCTCTAGTCCTGACCTCCTCCTATAGTCTTGACCTCCTCCTCTAGTCCTGACCTCCTCCTCTAGTCTTGAACTCCTCCTCTAGTCCCCTGACCTCCTCCTATAGTCTTGACCTCCTCCTCTAGTCCTGACCTCCTCCTCTAGTCCTGACCTCCTACTCAAGTCATGACCTCCTCCTCTATTCCTGACCTCCTCCTCTAGTCCCCTGACCTGCTCCTCTAGTCCTGACCTCATCCTCTAGTCCCCTGACCTCCTCTTCTAGTCCCCTGACCTCCTCTAGTCTTGACCTCCTCCTCTAGTCCTGACCTCCTCCTCTAGTCCTGACCTCCTCCTCTAGTGCTGACCTCCTCCTCTAGTCCTGACATCCTCTTCTAGTCCTGACCTCCTCCTCTAGTCCTGACCTCCTCCTCTAGTCCCCTGACCTCCTCCTCTACACCTGACCTCCTCCTCTAGTCCTGACCTCCTCCTCTAGTCCTGACCTCCTACTCTAGTCCCCTGACCTCCTTCTGTAGTCCCCTGACCTCCTCTTCTAGTCCTGACCTCCTCCTCTAGTCCCCTGACCTGCTCCTCTAGTCCTGATCTCATCCTCTAGTCCCCTGACCTCCTTCTGTAGTCCCCTGACCTCCCTCTCTAGTCCTGACCTCCTCCTATAGTCTTGACCTCCTCCTCTAGTCCTGACCTCCTCCCCTAGTCTTGAACTCCTCCTCTAGTCCCCTGACCTCCTTCTGTAGTCCCCTGACCTCCCTCTCTAGTCCTGACCTCCTCCTATAGTCTTGACCTCCTCCTCTAGTCCTGACCTCCTTCTGTAGTCCCCTGACCTCCTCCTCTAGTCCTGACCTCCTACTCTAGTCCCCTGACCTCCTTCTGTAGTCCCCTGACCTCCTCTTCTAGTCCTGACCTCCTCCTCTAGTCCTGACCTGCTCCTCTAGTCCTGATCTCATCCTCTAGTCCCCTGACCTCCTTCTGTAGTCCCCTGACCTCCCTCTCTAGTCCTGACCTCCTCCTATAGTCTTGACCTCCTTCTCTAGTCCTGACCTCCTCCCCTAGTCTTGAACTCCTCCTCTAGTCCCCTGACCTCCTCCTCTAGTCTTGACCTCCTCCTCTTTGTCCTGACCTCCTCCTCTAGTCCTGACCTCCTCCTCTAGTCCTGACCTCCTCCTCTAGTCATGACCTCCTCTTCTATTCCTGACCTCCTCCTCTAGTCCCCTGACCTGCTCCTCTAGTCCTGACCTCATCCTCTAGTCCCCTGACCTCCTCTTCTAGTCCCCTGACCTCCTCTAGTCTTGACCTCCTCCTCTAGTCCTGACCTCCTCCTCTAGTCCTGACCTCCTCCTCTAGTCATGACCTCCTCTTTTATTCCTGACCTCCTCCTCTAGTCCTGACCTCCTCCTCTAGTCCTGTCCTCCTCCTCTAGTCCCCTGACCTCCTTCTGTAGTCCCCTGACCTCCTCTTCTAGTCCTGACCTCCTCCTCTAGTCCCCTGACCTGCTCCTCTAGTCCTGATCTCATCCTCTAGTCCCCTGACCTCCTTCTGTAGTCCCCTGACCTCCCTCTCTAGTCCTGACATCCTCCTATAGTCTTGACCTCCTCCTCTAGTCCTGACCTCCTCCTCTAGTCTTGAACTCCTCCTCTAGTCCCCTGACCTCCTCCTCTAGTCTTGACCTCCTCCTCTAGTCCTGACCTCCTCCTCTAGTCCTGACCTCCTACTCTAGTCATGACCTCCTTTTCTATTCCTGACCTCCTCCTCTAGTCCCCTGACCTGCTCCTCTAGTCCTGACCTCATCCTCTAGTCCCCTGACCTCCTCTTCTAGTCCCCTGACCTCCTCTAGTCATGACCTCCTCCTCTAGTCCCCTGACCTCCTCCACTAGTCCCCTGACCTCCTCCTCTAGTCCCCTGACCTCCTCCTCAAGTACCCTGAACTCCTCATCTAGTCCTGACCTCCTCCTCTAGTCCTGACCTCCTCCTCCAGTCCCATGACCTCCTCCTCCAGTCCCCTGACCTCCTCCTCTAGTCCTGACCTCCTCTAGTCCTGACCTCCTCCAGTCCCCTGACCTCCTCCTCCAGTCCCCTGACCTCCTCCTCCAGTTTCCTGACCTCCTCCTCTAGTCCTGACTTCCTCCAGTCCCCTGACCTCCTCTTCTAGTCCCATGACGTCCTCCTCTAGTCCTAACCTCCTCCAGTGTCTGACCTCCTCCTCCAGTCCCCTGACCTCTTTCTCTAGTCCCCTGACCTCCTCCAGTCCCCTGACCTCCTCTTCTAGTCCCCTGACGTCCTCCTCTCACCTCTCTTTTTCTCTCTATTTCTCTACAGTTTGTTTAGTTTTTCAATCGTCTCGTCTGACTGTCTCTTGTTTTATGTGTCTCTGTCTCTCCCAGTATGGGTGTCCGGGTGATGGACACGTCCTGGGTGTCTCGTAAGGGTTCGTCCACCCTGGCCCGTAAGGCCTCGTCCACCCCTCCCAGCGTCCAGGGTCCTGGCTCCCCTGCTGACCACTCCCTCATCCTGGAGCAGCCTGGAGAGCTGACCCAGTCCCCCTCACCCCCTCCTCCACCTGGGGAAAGGGACCGGATCGGGTAAGTCCCCACCACCACCACCACCACCATGGAGGATTCCTCCTCTCCACCTTCCTCCCCTCTTCATCATTGTCACCATCATCATCATCATCTTCACCAGCTCTCCATGACTTGTCTTGAAGTTTGTGCGGTTGTTGTTGTTGTTGTCGTTTAACTTGTGCTGTTATGTGTCTCACAGACTTCTTTATCTCGTCTCTGCTCATCTCTAACATGATTTGGGGTTCTTTCCTGTTTGCCTATTTCTCCTCATCCTCTATCCCTCCACTTCACCGTTGTTGTTTAGTCTGTTAGCTTTATGTCACTGTGGGAGATTATAAAGAGGGCCTAGCTAACGTTCCTTCAGTTTCTAGAGGGTACACTATGGTTTATAGCCCACGTCAAGTTTTCATAAACACTTTATTTGAAGTACATACGAATACGTTTTCTTTACTTAAATGTCACATCATATAATTTCACTCCACAAGTCTCTGAGAGCATGTCATTATTCAAACTGATCCCAGTGACGTGGTATGGCTTGAGTTCAACCTGATCCCAGTGATGTGGCGTGGCTTGAGTTCAACCTGATCCCTGTGACGTGGCGTGGCTTGAGTTGACCTCTGTTGCCATGGTTACTTTTTTTTCTGCTGACACACACTGAGTGACTTTGACCGTTTTGATTTCTACTCTCATCTTAAACCGCACCAGTTATTAATATAATCCATCCCAGTTAATATCACATTAAAGTGGCAATCTGAGGTTGATACATCAATTTTGTTATTGTTTGAACCCCAGATTGCCCCTTTAATAATGGCTGCATCCATGTGAAATGTTGCTCCTGTGTTGCAGAAAGGCTGTTTATAAGATACAGTGAGGGAAAAAAGTATTTGATCCCCTGCTGATTTTGTACGTTTGCCCACTGACAAAGAAATGATCAGTCTATAATTTTAATGGTAGGTTTATTTGAACAGTGAGAGACAGAATAGCAACAAAAAAATCCAGAAAAATGCATGTCAAAAATGTTATAAATTGATTTGCATTTTAATGAGGGAAATAAGTATTTGACCCCCTCAGGCTCCCAGGTGTCTTTTATACAGGTAACGAGCTGAGATTAAGAGCACACTCTTAAAGGGAGTGCTCCTAATCTCAGCTTGTTACCTGTGTAAAAGACACCTGTCCACAGAAGAAATCAATCAATCAGATTCCAAACTCTCCACCATGGCCAAGACCAAAGAGCTCTCCAAGGATGTCAGGGACAAGATTGTAGACCTACACAAGGCTGGAATGGGCTACAAGACCATCGCCAAGCAGCTTGGTGAGAAGGTGACAACAGTTGGTGCGATTATTCGCAAATGGAAGAAACACAAAATAACTGTCAATCTCCCTCGGCCTGGGGCTCCATGCAAGATCTCACCTCATGGAGTTGCAATGATCATGAGAACGGTGAGGAATCAGCTCAGAACTACACGGGAGGATCTTGTCAATGATCTCAAGGCAGCTGGGACCATAGTCACCAAGAAATCAATTGGTAACACACTACGCCGTGAAGTACTGAAATCCTGCAGCGCCCGCAAGGTCCCCCTGCTCAAGAAAGCACATATACAGGCCCGTCTGAAGTTTGCCAATGAACATCTGAATGATTCAGAGGAGAACTGGGTGAAAGTGTTGTGGTCAGATGAGACCAAAATCGAGCTCTTTGGCATCAACTCAACTCGCTGTGTTTGGAGGAGGAGAAATGCTGCCTATGACCCCAAGAACACCATCCCCACCGTCAAACATGGAGGTGGAAACATTATGCTTTGGGGGTGTTTTTCTGCTAAGGGGACAGGACAACTTCACCGCATCAAAGGGACGATGGACAGGGCCATGTACCATCCAATCTTGGGTGAGAACCTCCTTCCCTCAGCCAGGGCATTGAAAATGGGTTGTGGATGGGTATTCCAGCATGACAATGACCCAAAACACACGGCCAAGGCAACAAAGGAGTGGCTCAAGAAGAAGCCCATTAAGGTCCTGGAGTAGCCTAGCCAGTCTCCAGACCTTAATCCCATAGAAAATCTGTGGAGGGAGCTGAAGGTTCGAGTTGCCAAATGTCAGCCTCAAAACCTTAATGACTTGGAGAAGATCTGCAAAGAGGAGTGGGACAAAATCCCTCCTGAGATGTGTGCAAACTTGGTGGCCAACTACAAGAAACGTCTGACCTCTGTGATTGCCAACAAGGGTTTTGCCACCAGGTACTAAGTCATGTTTTGCAGAGGGGTCAAATACTTATTTCCCTCATTAAAATGCAAATCAATTTATAACATTTTTGACATGCGTTTTTCTGCATTTTTTTGTTGTTATTCTGTCTCTCACTGTTCAAATAAACCTACCATTAAAATTATAGACTGATCATGTCTTTGTCAGTGGGCAAACGTACAAAATCAGCAGGGGATCAAATACTTTTTTCCCTCACTGTATGCTTGGTTCTGGCTTGTGACTGGCTTATTCTCCTCCAGCTCTGTTGCTCTATCAGCCAATGAGATGAAAGGGTTTTGTGTCCATCTCACACTGCACTGGGCTGGCTGAGGGAACTCTATAACATTATAGGTATAATTTTTTTGCGCAAGTCTTCCATTGACAATGATTTACTCAAAAGTCAAGAGTGGGCCCGTATTCATGAAGCGTTTCAGAGTAGAAGTGCTGATGTAGGATCAGTTTAGCCTTTTAGCTCGTAATGAAGATTATTACATGGACAGGGTGGGACCTGATCCTAGATCAGCACTCCTACTAAGAGACGCGTTCTGAAACAAACATAAAGGCCAATGTTAGGCTACTACGTACTGTAGAGGTCAAAGGGTCAAAGACAACTGGGTTATCCTACCTTCTAGTTAGTTAAAGACTGTTTCACCATGACTAGCCTCTTGCAGTGTGAAGACACAAGTTGATCCCAGAGGGAGTTTTACAGGCTCCACAGCAGCCCTGTTTTCTTTCTGTCCCTTCCCTTTGGGAATCCATTTTGCTTTTTGCTTTGCTGTTCTTTCTGCTTGTTGATTCTCTTCACAAAGCTGACTGCAGTCTGTGTGCTAAGTTTGGTTCACTCCCCGCCGCCCGCTTGCCTTCTCCACACCAGAAAACAAAAGCTGATTTTTAAGTTTAGCTCTGGATTAGACACTAACTAACTACCAACCTCACTACCACCACAGTAATCACAACAAGATAACCGTCTAGCACCACCACCACCACCACCACCACCACCACCACCACCACCTGTCTCCCTCCCTCTGTTCAACTACAGCTCTTTCTTCTTTGTGCTGTTCTGTTCTTTATATATCTACAGCTCAGACGACGTGTCGCCCAATCGGCCGGACTCCTCTCATGTCTACCCTCCCCCCGGGCCAGGGGAGGAGCGGCTGCCCCCTCCCTACCCCACCTCCACCCTACCCCATCCCGCCACCCACCACTTTTACCCCCACCCCAAAATCCTACCCTGCGCACGCCCCGTGGCCCCAGGGCCAGAGTCCCAGCCCCCCGGCTCCCCTCCTCTCCCGCTGCGCTGGTCTGGCTTCACCCCCCCTCTCCCGCCTCCCACCTCCTCCTCTTCCTCCTCCTCTTCCTCGCTTGACATCAACTCGAACCCCAAACCCAGCTGCCTGCATTTCCCCTCCAAACACGCCCTCCCGCACGGCCACCCGCTGCCAGGTGACATGTCGCTGCCGCCGCATGCTCCCCCGCCCCCCGATATGGGTAAAGCCTCGCCCCTCTACATGAAAACCCCCCTGGTACTGGCCCGTCATGACCTGTCCCTGGGCATGAGCATGGGCAACCCCCCTAGCCTGCTGTCATCCGCCCCCCCGCTGTGGGCTACCTGTCCCTGTGCCAGAGAGAGAGGACTCCCCAGGCTGACTAGGTAAATACAATGCCTGCCTGCCTGCCTGCCAGTCTGCCCTGCGCACTGCGCCTGCCCTGCCAACCTACTGCCTGCCTGCCCTGACACTGAGACAGACATACAGACAGGCAAACAGATGCAGGCGGGTATGGATACACCACCCACTACACCACAGAGAGAGAGAGAGCAGAGAGAGAGAGCAGAGAGAGAGAGCAGAAAGAGAAAGCCTACCAGCTTTTTTCCCCAGGTGGCCAAATGTCCTGTCCATGTCCTTTATCTTGCTGACTCATATTTTTGTGTTTTTGCTGGTCTCCAATCCCATATCTCAGAATCTGTAACATTCATGTTGCCGGGGGATGTCTCTCCAGGGGGTGCCTAGCAACTGAGGATGTTACTGCCTTTTGCAGAGAGTGCAGTAGAGGCTGGTGTAGAATAGAAAATAAATAAAAACATGAATAACACTGCATATGGTTTTCTACAAGCATATTAATGTATTGCTAATGTAGTTTACTAAATCGTAGCGAAGGTTTTCCTGGTCAACAGATACACAACTTTTGGAGATTCCAAACTCATAATTGTTTACTATATCAAGTCAATCAAAAACCAGGAAGTCAATCAGAAGACCAGGAAATCAATCAGAAGATCAGGAAGGCAATCAGAAGACCAGGAAGTAAATCAGAAAACCAGGAAGTAAATCACAAGACCAGGAAGTCAATCAGAAGATCAGGAAGTCAATCAGAAGATTAGGAAGTCAATCAGAAAATCAGGAAGTAAATCATAAGACCAGGAAGTCAATCAGAAGACCAGAGCTGTGTTCGAATACCCATACTAACATACTGTATACTACATACTTAATGAGTATATACTACATACTATATACTATTAGTTCATGTTAGTATACTGTAAACGAACGGTATCCTTTCAGTTGAGCGTACTAGCGCTTCACCTGTTTACCGGAAGTTGATGCTGTTGCTATGCAACCTCTTGCTAGCTTGTTAGCATAACAAATGACTAGTTAGACATTTTACGATTTCGGGTGTGTTCGTAAATTCAATCTGGAGTGCCAGAGTGCGCTCAGAGTGCGCAAATCCAGAACGTTGTCACACTGGATGCTCTGACGAGGAGTAGGGTTGATCCGAGCCTTCTGACCTCATAACGGCAGTCAAGCAGCCAAGCTAACGTTGGCTAGCTTGCTAGCTACTTCCAGACACAAATAAGAGAACACCTCACTCTGACCATTTTACTCGCCCTAGCAGAGCTGGTTAGGCTGTTTATATGTTATCCAGAGCGTTGGTGACTGTAACTGTGCTGCTGGCAACAATTTAATTACAATTGTTTTGCCAATGTTCAACGGGTGTTGAGTGTTCATAAATCCATCAGTTATTCTGCGCTCTGGCACACTCAGAAGAGAGTGCTATGAAACCAGAATTAACAATGTCCATTGAGAACGCACAATGACTATACCACATAGCTAAGAATGACGTGAATAATCAAATCAATAAACGTTGGGTAGTTAGTTAGATAGCATATAGTTAATATACTGCCTGGCAAGTTTAATGTATTAGTAGCCAACTAACGTTAGGTAACTAGCTAACATACCGGTACATACTGCTGTAATGCTATGCGGTTCGTAAGGATAGCGTAGCTAACAAATTGTCAGCCAACATAACGTGTAACGTAACTTATTTGAAAAGTCATTACTTTATTTAATTCCTCAACATTTTCTTAACATTTGTCATAATTAGTTAAAGCAATAAATTTGTATCCGCTCTCGTCGGACTTCAGCTGCATATTTTCCGCCATTTTCTTCAAATCTGATAGCGTTGTGAAGCCACGTCCATTTTCTGAAGAATTGCATAATGGGCATACTAACTACTGTATCCATACTATGACCAATAAGCATACTACATACTCAATTTACGTCACAAATAGTATGGTTAGTGCGGTTAGTATGAGTATTCGAACACAGCTCAGGACTTATTTCTGGGGAATAGAAGACCCAAATCTTGTGCTCAAGTGATGTCTCTTGTGATCCACAGTCACCATCCAATAACCTGGGAATGGGGAGTTCAGGCTCAGCAATCCACAGTCACCATCCAATGACCTGGGAATGGGGAGTTCAGGCTCAGCAATCCACAGTTACCATCCAATGACCTGGGAATGGGGAGTTCAGGCTCAGCAATCCACAGTCACCATCCAATGACCTGGGAATGGGGAGTTCAGGCTCAGCAATCCACAGTTACCATCCAATGACCTGGGAATGGGGAGTTCAGGCTCAGCAATCCACAGTCACCATCCTGTCCTCCAAATACAGCAGCACACCTATAACAGGACTATATTGCACAACAGATTATATTTCAAGACTCTCAGCTAGAACCACGGTGGTTGAATGAATTTCACAATTTAACACAACTATTCTATAACAGCACTATTTAATAATAGCACTATTATAAAAAAATACTATTTAATAATATAACTATTCTGTAACAGGACTATTTAATAATAGCACTATTCTATAACAGGACTATTTCATAATAGGACTATTCTATAAAAATACTGTTTAATAATAGCACTATTCTATAACAGGACTATTTAATAATAGTACTATTCTATAACATGACTATTTCATAATAGCACTATTCTAAAACAGGACTACTTCATAATAGCATTATTCTATAACAGCACTATTTCATAATATAACTATTATTTAAAAAAATACTATTTAATAATATAACTATTCTGTAACAGGACTATTTCATAATAGCACTATTCTATAAAAATACTATTTCATAATAGCACTATTCTATAACAGGACTATTTCATAATAGAACTATTCTGTAAAAATACTATTTAATAACAGCACTATTCTATAACAGGACTATTTCATAATAGAACTATTCTATAAAAATACTATTTCATAATATGACTATTCTATAACATGACTATTTCATAATAGCACTATTCTATAACAGGACTATTTCATAATAGCACTATTCTATAAAAATACTGTTTAATAATAGCACTATTCTATAACAGGACTATTTAATAATAGTACTATTCTATAACATGACTATTTCATAATAGCACTATTCTAAAACAGGACTACTTCATAATAGCATTATTCTATAACAGGACTATTTCATAATATCACTATTCTATAAAAATACTATTTAATAATAGCACTATTCTATAACAGGACTATTTCATAATAGCACTATTCTATAAAAATACTATTTAATAATAGCACGATTCTATAACAGGACTATTTAATAATAGCACTATTCTATAAAATACTGTTTAATTATATAACTATTCTATAACATTACTATTTCATAATATCACTATTCTATAACAGGACTATTTAATAATAGCACTATTCTATAAAATACTATTTAATAATATAATTATTCTATAACATGACTATTTCATAATAGCACTATTCTATAACAGGACTATTTAATAATAACACTATTCTATAACAGGACTATTTAATAATAACACTATTCTATAACATGACTATTTCAAGACTTTGTCATCTTCTGTATAGCAGGTAGACTAACCTGGCTGTTGACTTGTATTTCCCCCTTCTCTGTTTCTGGCAGTTTCTCTCCAGTCTCCAAAATCAAATCAAATCAAATTGTATTTGTCACATGTGCAGAATACAACTGGTGTAGACTTTACCATGAAATGCTTACTTACGAGCCCTTTCCCAACAATGCAGAGTTTATGATGAAGTATCAGTACCAGATCGATGTGCAGAGGTACCAGGTATTTGAGGTAGATATGTACATGAAGACAGGGTAAAGTGACTGGGCATCAGGATAGATAATAATAAGGTATTTGAGGTAGATATGTACATGAAGGCAGGGTAAAGTGACTGGGCATCAGGATAGATAATAATAAGGTATTTGATGTATTTGAGGTAGCTATGTACATGAAGGCAGGGTAAAGTGACTAGGCATCAGGATAGATAATAATAAGGTATTTGATGTATTTGAGGTAGCTATGTACATGAAGGCTGGGTAAAGTGACTAGGCATCAGGATAGATAATAATAAGAGTAAAATAAAGAACAGAGTAGCAGCAGCATGTGATGAGTGTAATAGTGTGTGTGTGTATGTGTGTTTGTGTTGTGTCAGTATGTGTGTGTGTGTTATGTGTGTGTGTGTGCATATGTAGTGTATGTGAATGTGTGTGGGTTTTGTGTGGGAGTGTCAATGGAGAGTGTGAGTGTGTATATATAGTCTAGTGAGTGTGCATCATGTCAGTGCAAGATAGGGTCAGTGCAGATAATTTGGGTAACCATTAATTGACTATTTATCAGTGTCCAGTGTCCAGTGTCCAGTGTCCAGTGTTCCAGTAGAGTCAACACCACTAGACATGGCAGGGCATCAGGAGCCATTATACCAATTATATAGATGTCATAGTCTCAAATGGCACCCTATTCCCTACACAGTGCACTACTTTGGACAAGGGTCATAGAGCTCAGGTCAAAAGTAGTGCACTATATTGTGAATAGGGTGCCATTTGGGACGTAGACTATGTCAGTGTTTCAGAAGCAGCCTGGACGTTCCCTTCCCCCTCCATGACTCCTCATTCACACACACCCCTATACTGTTCACACTGACGGTCTCTAGTGACCCCTATACTGTTCACACTGGCAGCCTCTAGTGACCTCTATACCCTCTGAAGTACACACTCTCTAGTGACTCCTATACCCTCTAAAGTACACACTCTCTAGTGACCCTATATAGGTGTGGAAGGCCTGATATGATGGGAGCTAGCTATTATTATAATTACCAGTCAGTAACTGCAGCAACACAACGATCCAGATACTATTTAGTAGGTTGGAGACCACTGACATTGATTATGGTTATATGATGATGATGATGATGATGATGATGATGATGATGATGATGACAGTTAAGAACGGCTCCCTTGTGAAAGAGACCTTGGTCTCAATGGTCCCTGTTAAAATAAAGGTCAAATAAATGAAGAAGAAGGACATTTATGTAGCGATTATGCTACGATGTAGTTTGACAGCAGACACAGCAGAACACTAACATCCTCTCTCCTTCACCAGTACACTAAGGAGTAAGGAGAGCTCTCCAGTGATTGGTCACAAGGGGGTGCAGGTGGCAGGTCCGATGGTGCCCCCTGGTGTTGGCCAGCAGAGCTGCAGCCAGTCGCCCCACTCCACAGAACACAGCCCACACACCTTGCGCAAAGGTCAGCGGTTCAACATCACAGTCGGATCAATATCTTTGGATTATTTTCGTTTTACCTATACAGCAAATGTATGATTATTTAATTTTTTTGAAGGATCCAGATTAAGTCTGTTCTTAGATTAAGCCCTAAACACGTTCCATGGAGATTCTCCATTCAGCATGATTTTTTTTGGCCAGGAGTAGGCTTAATCTGGATCCAGAAAACAGATACTTAATGTAATATACATGTCTAATCTAATTTGTTTCTTATCAAAATGTTGATATTAATTTGTTTTATTGTATAAAGCTGGGGTTGGAACCAAAATTATTTTCCAATCGTTTTGTTCTGAACAGAACCATTTTTTGTTCCGTTCCACTGTTCTGACCAGCAAAATAAAGTTCTGAACTGCTTCGAACAAAAAAAAAGTAACGGTTTATATTGTTAATTTCTGTTCCTTTTTACATTTAGCTCAACATTAAATGACTTCACCAATCAGTGCGGATAGAGAAGCTTGCTGTAGAGCGAGTAAGTGATTTAATCTGTATAGGAAAGTCGTTAAGAGCAAATTGTATTTTGCCGTAACAGCATGTTTTAATCATAATGAAAGACAAACACACACACTGTGCCAGTCACAGTGTAGGGCGCAAGATGCAACTGAAATGTTGAGGGTGAGGAGAGAGCGAGAGATGATGGAGGAAGCTTACTTTGAAGCGCTGGCCATCTTGTTATGACATGCATTATCTGAATTGGGCTCACATAATTATGCAGACAGAGGAGAGGCTTCTATGGAAGAACTTTGAATGTCTTTGAACTTCAGAGTTGGTTTAACGTTGGAACAGAGCAAACTTTAGCTATCTAGCTAACAAGCTTGTTTGTGCAGAGCAGCACTAGAATAAAAAACACATCTTACCTTTTTGCGGTTAATAAATCCAATGTGAAACGTGAAAACTATAGTATCCTTAACTAGAATTGAAAAAGTAAATCCATTCTTCTCTAATTAAACATCTCTCCTTAATTTCTGAATTACACTTGTAACATGGTCAGTAGGCTACAGTAACCTATGCTTCAGAGGGGGAGGGGCAGGTAGCCTACACACGCACACCCACTGGCAGAGATTCCTAGCTGGCAGGCAGAAGCTGGAATAAGTTTCTGAGTGACAGAGTGAGGTCTTTGCATAGGCGCTTTGTTGCGATTTTTGTGGGACTGGGAAAAAATGCCCGGAATGTAAAAAACTTTATTAACCGGTTCCCATGCTTTTAAAATACCGGTTCTGTTCCGGAACAGTATAGGTCACTTTTGTTTTCGGTTTGGGTTCTGTTCCTCTAATAATTTCGTTGTTTTCCGGTTTTCGGCTGTGTTCCCTGAACCAGTTCCAACCCCTGGTATAAAGGTAGGCTTAGTTTTTAGATGTGTTAATTTACTTTAGATATTCATGTTAATGTTAACTCTCTTCTTCTCTGTCTCCAGGCTCTAAGAAGCTGGCCCCTGTCCCTCCAAAGGTTCCAGCTGGATACGGCCAGTCGGGTGGTTCTGGTGGGATTTCGGACCAGTCCACAGGTCAGCCGTCACCGGTCAGCCTGTCCCCCACCCCTCCCAGCACCCCCTCCCCCTATGGACTGGCCGGTCCCCCACAGGCCCCTGGAGGACTAGGGGCCTCCTCCCCCGGTCAGACCCCTCTCTGTGGCTCCCTGGGGTCCCTGGGGTCCCTGTCCTCCCCCCCTTCTCTGACCGGCACGCTGGGCAAGTCTCGGCCCACCCCTAAGCCCCGCCAGAGGCCCAGCCTGCCCCCTCCTCAGCCGCCCACCGTCCCTCCGCCGGGGGCCAACCCTGTCGGCCCTGGGCCCCTGGAGCAGGGCATCCTGGACAGACTGTCCCCCGGGGAGAGCATGTCCACAGGTAAACAACATGATGATCACGTAACCACGGCAACGACACCACCACCCCCGCCCCAACCATCACAGGTGGGGTCAGGGACGATGCAGCCGCGTCCCACTCTCAGACTGGCTGTGGCACTGTCCAATGGAGACGGTGGACAGGTGTAGCTAGTAGGACTAGGGAAATCAGGATCCTATCGCTACTGACTCACCCATTCTATAAAATAATGTATTATTGAATAACGGTGGCCTTTATTTAGTCAGACAGACGCAGTGGTCTGAGAAGAACAATATGCTGTAAATATTAGGATTTTGTTGCACATTGTAGAGAGGAAACCACAGTATGTATCCATTGCTTGGGTTATGTGCTGATGTTTCTAAGTATTGTGAGGAAACATCAGGGAAGCATAGCGATGTCCTGCTTGTATGGAAGTTTCCATTAGATTCATCATGTGCTTCCTCTCTGTTTATCCCTCATACAGTACGCCAGAGCTAGGTAGGTCCCAGGCTACACGCATAGAAATAGAATGACTAGAACAGACAAACCCCCTCAGACCACGGCAATTTGACAGTGTACTCATGGGTACATTCAGTTCACGGGTTGCGCCTACGTCACTTGGTCGTGTTGTGCTGTGCGTTGTTATGAACGTTCTATGAACGCCTCAGCCATTGTGGTGCTTGAAAGTGGAGTGATGCCCAGTCATTCTGAACGGAGGCTAATGACTGTTTCGTCGAAAGTACACTATAGATTACACTATAGTGGCCTGGAAATATGACGACATTGCTCAAGTCATCAAATAATTAGTAGGAAACAACTTTGCCATCATTATGATGTCATCAAATTCACTTTAGAGAGATGATAATATTGCCATTAGCTATCAAAGTTCGTCAAACATTTCTAGCAATGCTAACGTTAGCTAGCTAAAATCCAGGACTGTCCCTCAATCTTCAATCTGGCTACATCACAATGATAAGAAATGGTTTTTCCTACTAATAGCTTGTCTCCTTTTTGAAATATCATTGGGTTTCCAAGCCAGTATAATGGACTTTAGACTAAATCTTCATCAGTGCCCATTGACAATGCATTGAGTAAAACCTTTAGTCGGGCACCAGGGCTCAAGAGAATCTTCCTAACGAAATTGGGACGCAACGTGCAATCCATGAATATAGCCGACATTGTTCCACTCATCATGGAATGTTGACTTGAAAAAGGGAATGTCTGTTCTAGTCATTCTATGCTTACTTCAACAACAAGTCCACTCTCTCAGGACAAACATGGCTTATTCTAGGCTGGTCCCAGACCTGTTTGTGCTCTTGCCAACCCCATTGCACATTGTCAAGCGATTCCATAAGGAGTTGGCAAGAGAGCAGAAACAAGGCTTATTGAAGAAGTGGTCACTCAGATAGGCTTACTTCTTGTCTGATGTCATAATTATGATCTGAGGTGTTCCATAGAAATCTAATTGTAATATTCTATGAGGTTCTCTGTTCTATCTGTCAGTATCAGTATCAGTATCAGTACCAGTCATTCTCTCTGTGTCCCTGTGTTCTATTCATGATTCTCTTGTTCCCCTGCTCTGCTCTACCTGCTACTGTGTTGTGTACCAGCCGTGTGAGGCCTGGGGAGTCAGTGTGGTGTGGGCTAAGTGTGAGGGGGACTTTTAGGGTAAGCCAGATCTGACCCCGCCCGCAACGTTATCATACTACGCTCCATCTCTCACCGCTCCGCCCGCCTCGCCCAGTGCTGTGGCTGCCTCTGGGTTCTCCTGCAGCCTGCTTCAAACATACATACATCCTGTACCTGTTAGCTAAACAGCTAGCTATCAGCCATCCATGCTAACGCTAGGTAATTTCCCCATTCTGTTGGTGTTACAGTATCAGCCATGCCAACGCTAGCTAGCTGCCCCATTCTGTTAGTGTTACAGTATTAGCCATGCTAACGCTAGCTAGCTGCCCCATTCTGTTGGTGTTACAGTATCAACCATGCTAATGCTAGCTAGCTGTCCCATTCTGTTGGTGTTGCAGTATCAGCCATTCAAATGCTAGCTAGCTGCCCCACCCTTTTGGGTTTTACTGTTCGCCATGCTAAGGCACTGCTGCCCATTCTTTGGGGTTTCGTTCACCCTGCTAACCTAGCTACGTCCCAATTTTTGTTGTGTTTTTACTTTTTTACACCCCATGTTTTTTAACGTACTAGTTGCATTTTGTTGGGAACGAAACCCGGCCCCAAATTGCGTGGCCACTTCCCCCGAAGGCCCCCATCTTAAGACCCCCCATGCCCCCCGCCCCGTACGGCTTGGGGCCAAGGGCCCCCAAACCCCCAGGTGCCCCCCTCCCCGAACCATTTTTAAAGCCCATTTTTTTTTTTTTCCCCCCCGGGAAAAAGCCCCCCCAAAAGGGGGGGGGAAAACCTTTTCCCACCCCGGGTTTGCCCCCCTTTTTTGCCCCCCTCCAGAACCCCCTTCAGGCCCATTGTTTTTACTGCTTTCCCCTGCACACCCCCTCTCAGTGCTCCACTGTTTTCCCTCCCCCCCCCGAAGCATGCCCCTGCTTGTCTCTTTTTCTTCCCCCCTCCCGCCGCCTCCTCTCGTGCTCCTCTTTTTTTTTCCGCTTTTCCCCTGCAGCATCGCCTCCCTCCGGGCTCCCCCTCTGTTTTTAATGTTTTCCCCCGACGCATCGCCTCCGTTCATGCTCCATCTTTTTATGCTCTTCCTGACCATCCCCTCCTTCCTGCCCACTTTTTTACTGCCCCCCTCTACGCATGGGCCCCTGTCGGGGTGCCCCCTTTTGTTTTACTGCTTTCCCTCTGACAGCATCGCCTCCTGCTCAGTGCTCCATCTGTTTTATGCCTCCCTCTGACACATCCCCCCTGCCAGGTCCATCTTTTTAAAACTGCTCCCCCCTCGCAGCTCGCCTCCCTCAGTCCCCCATTTTTTTTACTGCTTTCCTTCCCTGACAGCACGCCCCGATGTCCATCTTTTTATGCCTCCTCTGACAAATCCCCTCCTCCAGTGCCCCTCGGGTTTAACTGCTCTCCCTCACAGCACGCCTCCTGCTAGTGCCCAAATCTTTTTTACTGCTCTCCCTCTGACAGCATCGCCTCCTGGTCAGTGCTCCATCTGTTTTACTGCTCTCCCTCTCAGATCCCCTCCTCCCCTGCCCATCTTTTTTTTAAATGCTTCCTCTACAGCATGCCTCCTGCCCCCCACCCTTGGTAACGGCTCTTCCTTTTCTGCCGCACGCCTCCTGCTCCCGTCTTTTTCCCTCCCTCCCTCTAAATTTTGGTTTCCCCAAAAGGGCCCCGTTTTAAGGGTTTCTTTGACCTTTGGTAATTAAAAATTGGACAAAAAGTAAAACCCCCGGTTTATTCCTGGTTTTTGCCCTTTTACAGGCAACAAACCCCTTTTTCCTTTTTAAAATCAACCATTTTTGCTTTCTTTTTCATAAATTTTTTGGGGGTTTTTTTTCAAAAAAGGGCCCCTGTTTCCAAAGGGGCTCTGGGTTTTTTTCCAACTCCCCTGGGGAAAGTAAAGAAGAAGGTTTTTCCCGGGGAAATTACGCCGATGTTTTTTTTGGGGCCAACCAAACAAAGATTTTTGGGTTTTTTCCCCCCCAAAATTGGGGTTTTTAACAAAAAAGGAAATTTTTGGGCCCAAAAAGAAAAAAAACAAACCCGGGTTTTTTTTTTGGGTTTTTTTTCCCTCCCTAAAAATTTCCCCCTTTTTGTTTTAAATTTTTTTTTTCCTTTTTCCTCCCTGGTAGTGTCGGAACCCATGTTTTTCCCCTCCTTTTTTTTTCAAACAACAACCCCAAATGCGTTTTTTCCCCAAAAAAAGACCTTTTGCTTTCCTTTTTTTTTTACCAAAAAAAAAAAAAAAAAAAAAAAAAAATTTTTTTTTTCCCCCCCCCCCCGGGGGAAAAAAAAAAAAGGGGGGGGGGGGGGGGGGGGAAAAAAAAAAAAAAGGGGGGGGGGTTCCCCTTTTTTTTTTTTTTCCCTCCTCTTACCTTTCCCCAAAAAAAACCCCCCCACAATTAACTTCCCCTTGGACGCCAACCATGATTCCCCGGGGGGATCTAGTTACCCCAAATGAAATCCCCTCCCTTAACCGGAAGAATGATTATTACGTGCTGCCCCCTCCCAGGAGGGGAAACCCCCCCCCCAGGGGAACATACCCACCACACCCAAAACGCGTGCCTAAAGGGGGACGAACCCCGGAAACCCACCTATGACTCATACCCGAGACAGCCCTATGATGTGACATCATCAGAGCTCGCCCAGAACTCGGACGTGCCCGGGAAGGCAAGGCAAGGCTGGCACCATGGCGCTCCAACATACAGCTAGCTAGCTGTACATACTGTAAGACTGTAACGCTCGCTCACACCGCACTGCCACGATGCTCCCAGACAAAACAAACAAACACACAAACAACATGGCTTCTTCTTCTACACCGCAATGCTCACCTGACCTTTCACCTGGAACTCCAGAACTGAACCCCCCCCTCACATTGTGCTATACCTACAGGCTGCAAGCAAAACTAATCTCTTAGAAATACTACGCAAATAGTAATGTAAACTCAATAACGCACCACATGCCATATAGAGGAGGACCAGTTGCCTTTGGAGGGAAGAAGACATATGGATTATATGGAGGAGTATTAATGCCATGTTCAGTATTATATTTTATTTTTGCTTTGTGGATACTACCGTATTTTTTTGTGATCAGTATTTCTTTTGACTTTTTACGTTTTTGTTTTTTTTCCTTATATGAAAAGCCTGCACTCAAATTGCAATACATGCATCGCATACTCACAAACAGTTTGGCCTGACCCTAAATGAAGGAAACTCGTAACCTGACTGGTTGTGTAGATGTGTGGGTAAAGTGGGTCTGACTGGTCGTGTAGATGTGTGGGTAAAGTGGGTCTGACTGGTTGTGTAGATGTGTGGGTAAAGTGGGTCTGACTGGTTGTGTAGATGTGTGGGTAAAGTGGGTCTGACTGGTTGTGTAGATATGTGGATAAAGTGGGTCTGACTGGTTGTGTAGATATGTGGGTAAAGTGGGCTCAGGGTCAGTGTGTGTAGTGTACTGTATTCCTAACAGGGTAATATGATGAGAGAGTTATTAGTCCTAGTTTTCTGCACACTATAGAGATGATGATGAACAGAGTCTA